AGGCGCCTTCCCAACGCGGTTTGTCGCACGAGGAGCGGCTCCGAGCGGGAAAAACGCTGCCCTTTTCCTCCGCGAAGGAAGGCCCGGCAGCAGAACTAGGCTGCTTGCTCAGCTTCAGCTCTTAAGGGGCTTTTAAACAACGCTTGGATTTAGGCCTGGGTGAGAGCAAGTGAAGGAAGGGAGATGTCGGGAGAGGGTCCTTACGGCAGGGGAAGGACAGGACTGCAGCCCAAGGAGCCCCGGGGCAGCAACACTCTGCAGGAGGAGATGGGGCTGGGGAAGGCAGCTTGGAATCCCAAAGTGATCCTGGAAAGTGTGGAGGTTCAAACTGCAGTGAAGGGAGATTAGGGTCACAACTCTGCTACCAGCCCCAGAAACCCTCCCTCAGCTGCCAGCGAGGCTTAGCAAGGCCCACAGCCCTTTCCCCCCACATCTAGGGGCTCTTCTCTAAACCTGACTCCAAAAAGCTGCAGGGGCAGCAGGAAAGATCATCCTGCCAGGGGAAATTGTGTCAGCAGCTCCTGTGGAAAGGGACAAGGCTCCTCGGCACAAAACTCTCTCCCTCATAATCAACAGTTTAGCAAGGTACTCCAGTAGAATCCAGTGCATTTATTTCTTGCAATATCTGAATGGGTGCTTCAACTGGGGAGTTGAACACATACAAATTAATGTTTGCAAGTTTAATGACAATCAATACTAGAAGCAAATCACTGTGTAAAGCTCATAGAAGAATGCCAAATTTGTCATTGTTTGAAGTATTATGCAGTCCAGACGAAGGCCTTGTGGAAGCAAGCATAACCCTCCGTAAAGAAAGTCAGGAACCAGTCAATCACCCATGGGCGCAGGCAGCCGGGATACAAGTCTTCATTCTTTCTACAAGCAGCTAATTGAACTAGAGAGAAGGTTACATGGTCTGATTAGCTGGGGAGCTTGCCAGGAATACACACTTTGACAGTTAAGAGCACATTCAGAGGCTGATCTGTAAGAGCCTACAGTTGCTACTCTACATATCTGATAACAGAGTTCCAGTTTGGACTCACTACCCATGATGTGAGGATACCAGCTACTGAATAACATAGGAGTAGTACTACCTAATATTTTGCATACCTTGTGTAGCAATTAATTGCTCAAGTGTAGATAAAATATTGCCAATGCAGTCCAGGTCAAAATGCATCTCAGGTAGGGTGTTAACAACAAAGCAAGGGCTAGATTAAAACAAGCAAATGAAAGACTCGAGGCTCTAGAAGAAGCGATGCCTCTCTCATCTCCTCCCTTCCTTGCTATTAACGGCCACTACGAGCACTGTTGCTATAAGCCACAAGAGAGTGGATGAAACAAGTGTGTGGCAAGTTAGACTTGAAGATTTTTGCTGCCTCACTTCTTTAGAACAAGACTGACTCAGCATAAAGATGATTAAAACCAGAGGATCAGCTTATGGCTGTTTCTGTTAGTAAGAGTACCAGAAACTTCTAAATACAATCATTATGGCAAGAGATACAGCTTATCTGACCAAGTAGGAAGCTACTTCAGTGTTCTGACACTGACCAAGCCTCTTCAGAAACTACCAAGAGCCCTGTGGTATTCACTGGCTTCAATTTGTATTCAGAACATACAAAGTTGACAACTTAAAGCTTTATTGTAATTTGCAGTAATATAAACAGGTTCTGACGTTTAGTCAATGTCCATCTCGGGGAGCTTCCTCTCCGTGGCCGTGGGGGCAGGCGCAGCAGCGCTCTCCTCAGCAGCCGGGGCCCCGCTGCTCGCGTCGCCCTGCCCGTCTACTGGTCCATTCAGTTCGGTTGGTTTCTGCTCCTCCTTTGGGAGCTCAACCTTGGGTTTTGGTTTGGTGACTATAGGATTGCAAATACTGGTCAATTCCTAGAAAACACAGGAACAGAAGCATTAGAAGCGTTTCATGGCGCAGCCGCTGTACTTCAACCTAGAGATCCCATCGGCCAGGGACCAGACCAGCTGCATAGTCCAAGCTGCACGCTGATGTTCCACCAACTCCAATTTAACAGGTATTACTCCAGCACTGCCCTTCTACCAGTTTGTCACCTCACAGCACAAACAATTAGACTGTGAAATGGTCATGCTCTCAGAAATGCAGCAAAGGGTGCAGAAAGACTTACTTTAGTCTTGGCTTGTATCTCTTTAGCTTTTATAACGGGGTCCAAAGTGAGACTCCTCTTGTTCTGAAGATTGAGCTTGTTATTCATCCACTCCATAGCTTCATTTGCGCTCTTCTCCACTTTTGCTATATCCGCTTCGTCTAGATGATCATACTGCTCATCCTGAAACAGCCAAGTGGCTGTATAAGTATTTATTTGAAATCTAACTGCTTATTTCTTCATTCAAACTTTTGACTTCAAAACACTAGAAACAGCAGTTCCATTTACCCAGAGGGCTATTTGAGTTAACAGGGCAGTTGAGCAGGTCTCCTGCAGCTCTCTAATCAGAGAACTGAAGTTCTGCTGCTGCAGCTATTCTTCCTTCATGAGGGAATCAACAACTGATTAAAAGCACATTTTCAAACTAACATTCCATTTGCACTGAGAACCGAGAATCTAATCAGGAGGTTGCCAGCAGCCTTCTGCTGAAAGAAGCTTATTTTAAAAATCCAATTAGATTTGCAACAATGCCTTGCATTTGCCTGAAGTTAAGCATGGAAATACCTTTGCTTTAAATGCATGAACAGCTTTCATGTACTGTTGAATTTGCTTTCCCAAGTCCTCAAAAGCTTTTGGTCTTTCTTCCGATTCTTGAAATCTTGCCTGAATAGGTTGACCCAAAGTCTGAAACAAAATGTGACAGATATCAAAAACCAGCCAGCAGCGTAATGAGCTGCTGCAAGTTCTGACAGTATTGCTGAGCACTGCTAAGCGTTCTAAACCTTGCACTCTTCCCTCCCCTCATATGGGAAAAGGTCTCATCCACCTCGAACGGCTTTGTCTTGATACACGACCAATTGGAAGTTTATTCCTTACACACTTACTAAACAGGTTAATTGGTTTATCAGTGCTAATTTGAAACAGCAAGCTAACCCCCTGCTTGAATGAAGTGCTCTAGATTTGGTAAATTTCTAAAGAACTTAAAACACTTACCTTCAGTTCTGCTAATTTATCAATGTAAATTTGTTTGGGTTGGTCTTCGCCATCTTCATAAAGCCAATTTTCTGTATCTTCCAGCTTCAGGGTGAAACTATTTCTATCCTGAAGCAATCCATACAAAATAAATACTTAAGTAAGAATTTATTACATGGGATTAAACGATATTTGGACTCTTATGAAGGGTTACATTTTTAGAGTGTGAAGAAGTTAAAGCTGTTTTTTGTCATTAAAAGCAGGATGACAGAACTATGCCTTCCTTCAGCCTAGCTTCCTGGGAAAGCTGGCCTAAGGAGGAGCCATCTATGGCACTCAGTCTCCCAAGCAGGCTGTGCTCGGACTGCACAAGTCCGGGAAAGCTGGCCTAAGGAGGAGCCATCTCTGGCACTCAGTCTCCCAAGCAGGAGACTGCAGGACTGTGCTCAGACTGCACAAGTCCATCTTACTGCTTTGCCCATTTGCCTTGTGACTGACTATACGAGCACGACTGCGACCAGAGTGAAACCCATCTTCGGCAAAGGTGGCAGGAATCTCAGCTCCTGACCCAGTTCAGCTCTGGCACAGCTATCTAGACACCTAGGGTACACCTTGCTGGCAAGAGTCCTGTAATAGTGGAGACTCTCTAGGCAAAATGAAAGAGGTTGCCTCAAAATGATCGCTCAAGCACTCACTCTCCTTCCATATGAAAACACACTGATAACTTCAGTTGCTTCAACTGTTGTAGAAAAAGAACACACAATGTATCCTGGATACGATCTAATTTTCACTTGGTCCACACTTAGAAAGGTTATACTCATAGCCAGAGAGGTTAAAAAGGTATTTCTTCAAGTACAGACTTTAAATTCTGAAAATAATTATACCCAGGCATTCAAACATATCTGATAGGTAAAAAGACCAATAAAATGTGATCGTTTGTTGCAATAAAAAGTATTAGAAGACAAT